GATTTCTAATTTTATTCTATTATGATCTGATAGAATGAAGGGTAATATCTCTACTTTTTTGTATATGTTAAGAGTTACTTTGTGGCATAATATATGGTATATTTTAGAGAATTATTCATAGACATAGCTATTTTGACTAGCTATTTTAAACTAAGCATTCTGCTACATGTTATAGGAAAAACTCAGGTAAAAGACACTCATTCAATTTTTAATAATGATATACTCTGTTTTATGCCAGGCCTTATGCTTGGGGATGGGCCTATGGAGCTAAATTAATTATTCATTTAGTTGTTCCAGAAAATTTACAAATGCTGGTTGAAGAGATAAATGATAAATGAAATACAGTATTCACTTTTGAGTTGCTTAGGGAGTTGTTATAGAACTATGAGATAAGCATTGTGATAGATATATAACCCTGAGAACCAAGGGGCAATTAACTTATCTCGGAGAAGTCTGGAAAACTTTACAGAGAGAGACTGTATCCTTAACAAACAAAAAGTAGGAGAAAGCATTTTATATGGAGCACCTTATGCAGAGGTTTGAGGAGCATGAAGTGGATTAAATGTGTCTATAGCAGGGGTTAGTAGTTTTTTCTATAAAGAGCCAAACAGTAAATATTTTAGACTTTGCTGGCTTTGAGTCACTGTAACAATTACTCAATTCTGTCTTTGTAGCATGAAACAACCATAGATAATATATCAGTGAGTGAATCTGACTATGTTCCAATAAAATTTTATTTACAAAAGCAAGTGGCAAACTGGATTTGTTCCATGGCCACAATTTTCTGACCACTGGTCTGTAGTGTAAGGTCTTGTAGGAAAGGAGAATGGCCAAGACTGGGAAGTCAATCTATGGGCCACCTTGTAAAAGACCTTAAATGACAGATTAAGAAGTCTGGAAATAATGGGGAGTTGTGAGATTTTTAAGTAGGTAAATTGGTCTAGTTAGGTTTTTACTTTCTATAGATTATTCTAGTGTTTAATATGGTAGAATTGAGACTTAGATGTACAAAAATGAGGGAGAAATGACTCTCCTCTCCCTAACTTCTAGCCAAGGGCTTCTGATGTCATTGTGGACATGTATTTCATCTCTGAGTCATCATTGTTCTAGCACTGTGTGTTAAAGACATTCAGAGCTACATAGCTAAAATTTGGGTCCTTGCTGGATGTTTAGGAGATAAACAGGAGTTGTCTAATATAGAACATGTTGTTTATGGATTCTTAATACTAGATAGTGGGCTTTCACAGGAAATGGGAGTAGAGGAGGTCATGTGGTTTGGTTTAGAAGATATGGAAGGTAGGTAGTGAGGAACAAGATTGGATGGGGAAAGAGGATTAACTGGTTTTAAGAAGAAAACCAATTAATTTAAAATCAGCTCTTCCCAGGAGAGCTGCTCAGATCCCTATATCCAAAGATGTGTTGCTCTTCTTCTGGCCTATGTTAGAAAACTCTGAGCCTGTATTATGGGAATTCTAGAGAGATATCCTTTCTTCTCTATTCCCATCCACACTACTTCACTACTGCCAGCTACTGGGAGATCACTTTTCTGAGCTCATGAGCTAAATATACCTAGTGACAGCTGGTACCTTGGCACTTAGGCGAGATATTGAGATATTCAGCTGCAGTTCTAGCCAGTGCTCCATTCCTTCTGGTGAGGCAAATTAAGACACATCTTTTAGAGAGTCTCTTTGGATCCTCTTGAGGGAGGAGCTGTTTGTTCAGAGTCTGAAACAGTAAATCCTGTTTTGTGAAAGCCAAAAGTGGCCTGTTTTGTTTTGGCTTTTTGTTGCTTTTGAACTTTTTCTTTAATCAGACTTCAGCTGTTAACTGGATATAGCACAGTATTAAAGTAAGATGTAGTAATGAGTACCTCAAATATATTGGACATCAGAGTAGTAGTTCAATATAATATTCTAGTGTGTTATGCTTATAACTGGGTGTCTGGGAGCTTCTATCAGTGGGATATGGTTGGCAGGGAAGATAGACACATAAAAAGACTCATAAAGGTATGCATAGTAGTTGTGCGAACATAGAAAAGATCATCTTTGATCAAGAGTCTTTTTCTCTTGCCAGGTTTGATGGCACATGCCTGTAATCCTAAGGACCTGGAAGGCTAAGGCAAGAGAAATGAGTGCTAGGCCAGCCTAAGCAACTTAGGTCCTAAGCAATTTAGTGAGTTCCTATCTCAAAATAAAAAATAAAAAGGGTGAGGATGCCCCTAGTTTCAACAAACAAACAAACAAACAATAGCGTGTTTGCTTTGAAAACACAACCTCATAATGAGTCAGTCCCTTAGCCACTGCCCTCCCTTTCTAATCAAATTATATCTCTTAAGCCTCTCCTATATAAAATTGTAAAAGTCACTGGAGTTTGGTATTGTTAGATCCTCTTCTTTTTAAATATGTTTTTAGTTGTAGGTGGACACAATACCTTTATTTTATTTATTTGTATTTGATGCTGAGGATCAGCACAGAGCCCCACGTGTACTAGGTGAGTGCTCTACCACTAAGCCAAAAGCCAAGCCACTAGAACCTCTTTGTTTTGTTGTTGTTTTAGGAGACAGTCCGAAAAGCAAGGCTTAGGTTCAACTTTACAATATACTTTGGGGCCAATAAAAAAGATCCTTGTAAAGGTAATTTATGACTTCTGCAAGCATGTCTCATCCTACTCAAATGAGAGGATAATTAGCTCTTTGTTTGAGACACTAATAAACCAAGAGGCTGAGAAGCTTGCCCAAAAGCCACATAGGAAATAAGTGGCCTGTTTTATAGGTTCTGATCTCTTTATAGTATATTGTCTTTCTGACTCTTAAGGCTTGATTGTTGCAACCTCACTTCTTTGTTCTCTAAAATGGTTCCAAAAAGAATCAGGCCCTTCCTTCACATAAATTGTCTATCTGCCTTTTCCATCATTTGGCACCATCTTCTTGCTGGTCTTGTTTTCTGACCCTGTTTCCTCTTGGCATGTGTTATGACACCACTAAGGCTTGTATGTTTGTATGTGAGTTCCTGTGTAGGTACTTTTATTTTTTTCCAGAACTGGGGATTGAACATAGGGACATTTTACCAATGAGCTACATTCCCAGCCCTTTTTATTTGGGGACAGGGTCTCACTAAATTGCCAAGATTGGCCTTGAATTTCTGATCCTCCCACTTCAGCCTCCCAAATCACTGGAATTACAGGTGTGTACCACGACACCCAGCTTGTGTAGATCTACTTTTTATACTTTCTGTGAGCTTCTCTGCTATATCCATATTTCATGATCAAGCTTTCTTACTTCTTGTGAGTTCCCTATAAACAGCTGGTATCTCCTATCAGAGTATTTCCTAGAGTTACCTGGTAATTGTAGAAAAATCCCCTTCTTTTAGTGTTTCCTCTTCTAAGGCCTTTTGGTAGCTCAGTGAGGATAAACATATAACATTTTTGTCTGTTTTGGTTACTACTTCTTGCTTTAGTACCTGGAACTATAGCTGGTACATGGAAATTTTTATTAAATATATGTTGAAATCTTAGTTACTTGAGAGACAGAGGCAGGAGGATTGCTTGAGCCCAGGAATTCAAGGTAGCCTGGGCAACATAACAAGACTGCATCTTAAAAATACACACACACACACACACACACACACACACACACACACACACACTCGTGCATGCAAGACAATGCAAGAAAGTTTAGATGTAAAATGTTTGGGTTATGAGAGTCTTAACCTAATCAGTGCATTAATCCTCTGATAGGAATTAACTGGGTAGTAACTGTAGGCAGGTAGGGTATAGCTGGAGGAGTTGCATCACTGGGGGGTGTGCCTTTGAGGTATATATTTTGTCCCTACTGAATGGAGCAGTTTCTCTTTGCTATGTCCTAAGCTGCTTTCCTCTGCCACACCCTTCTGCCTTGATGTTCTGCTTCACCTTGAACCCAGAGTGGTGGAGTTGGTCATCTATGAACTGAGAACTATGAAACTGTGAGGACCAAAGTAAACTTTTCCTCCTGTAATTTTTTTTTTCAAATATTTTGGCTACTACAGTGAAAAAGCTGACTAAAATGTGTGTGTGTGTGTGTGTGTGTGTGTGTGTGTGTGTGTATACTAACTTATAGAGAGTAAAGATGTATTTTGGCTGACAGTTCTGTAGATTCCAATCCAAAGTTGAGTGTCCTAATTTCTTTGGGTCTCTGAGTAGTGGAGCAAAAATGACTTATCACCAAATCAGGAAGTAAAGAGAAAGAGGAGGAGGCTGGAGGCCTACAATTCCCTTTGATGGCATGCCCTCAGTGACCTAAGGATCTTTCAAATATTGCATCACATCTCAGTAGTGACACTTTATAAACTAAGCCTTTAACACATGGACCTTTGAGTGGTACTTATCTAAACCATAATAATGAATCACTAATGTTAGCTTATATTCAATGGGAGTGGAATCCACCTTTGATAGGAGAATTGTCAAGGAATTTGGGGACAATTTGAGAATTTGTGGATGTTTTAAAATCATCACAGCAAGTAATTTAACTTTCTGAAACTAATATGATTTGGGTACAAATTGCATTATCTTTGAGAATGTTACTATTCTTATTTCTAGAATAGGTGTGATAATTCATTGGCTGTGAAGATTAGATGAGAAAATATTGTGAAAGTTCTTAGAATATTTCTTAGTATATAAAGAAGTACTCAAAAATTGTTAATTATTCTTTCTATTTTTTCTTCCCTCTTTTAGCTTATTAAATTCCAGTTAACTGTCATTTATCTTCCCATAATTCAAAAAACAGTATGAGGAAAGAATTTCTAATTCATATTTATTTTTTTCAAGTGAAATATATTACAAGAAAATGTAGTCTCAATGGCAACTAAGACATATGCACAAGGAAAGATACATGAGTGATATAATACACATGCATTGGGTAAATGGAATGTGCTGTGGATAGCTCGAGGCAAATAACTTGAGTGGAGATCTTGGTGTGCTGGCTCCCAGGGATCTCTTGTGACTTGTGTGCTTTCCCCTTGCAGTTCCTGAGGGAAGACCTCAATTACCATGACCCAACAGTGAAGCACAGCACCTTCCATGGTGAGGACAAGCTCATCAGCGTGGAGGACCTGTGGAAAGCATGGAAGTCCTCAGAAGGTAATAGGCAGCCTGTTGTCATTCCTAGTTGTTAGAAGGCTCAGAGAAGAGAGACGAAGATAGCAAATTGAACTTAAAGAAATAGGAACATAAAATACTAGTATGATAAGAACATAAAATACTTAGTTAAAAAGCAAATTATTGAAATGATTCTATATATAGTCATTGAATAAGACTAAGTAGTCACTATGCTGGGAACTAGGAAAGATTCTCCAGAGTCAGAATGTTTTTTGAACTCTAGCTTATTCTCTACTTCTCTCCTTATTCCCACCCCATGGGAATCTCTTAGCTTCTGATGCATCATCTCTAGAGATAAAGAGCTTGCTGGTCTCTTGAGGCAAGCTGTTTCTTCTGTCGCTCCCACTTAGAACCAAAGTAAAAGTTGGATTCTCCTTTGAGTCTTCTCTTTTCCAGGTTGAGTAGCCCTACTTCTTTGAGAAAACATTTTCTCAGCCTCGTCCTCCTCCTCAGATATCTTTTTTTTTTTTTTCTCGGTGCTGGGGATTGAACCTAGGGCCTTGTATATACAAGGCAAGCACTCTACCATCTGAGCTATATCCCCAGCCCCTCCTTAGATATCTTGGTTTTCAGCCTCGTCCTTCTCCTCAGATACCTTGGTTTTCTGTCCGTAAAAAATTTTGTGAACGTGTTTCTTAGATCCTGGAGTTGGACACAGACTCCCAAATTCTTACAGAATTGATCTGGATTGTCACCTCAGTTCTGAACCCTGTTCATCTGTTAACATAGTCTAATTAGGTACTGGTCCCTTCAGAAGTCATTACTCTACTGATTTGAATTGAATTTATTAATGAAAACTTTAGATCTTTTTCATGTATGATGAAACTGCTTAATCATGACTACCATTTTTTTTTTCTGTAGTACTTTCAGAGTATTGTGTAAAGGAATATGTCTACTTGTGTGAGATTTGACAGGAAAAGTAAAAAGAGGGCTTAAGCTTTCTCTCCATTTATCTCTGTGACTAGAGCTTTCTTTGATATAAAAAAAAAATTGGAAACAGTCTCTTTTCAGGGTCCTTAGCATGGGTTCTTGTGTTAGTCAGCCTTTTGTCTCTGTGACCAAAACACCTGGCAAAAACAATTTAGGGAGGAAAGATTTATTTTGGCTCATGTTTTTGTAGGTTTCATTTGATGGTTGGCTAGCTCTGAGGCAGAAACATGGAGGAAGGGCCTGGTGGAAGAAGGCTGCTCAACTCATATTAGCTGGGAAGCAGGGGTGGAGTGTGGAGGGCAGGGAGAAGATTAAACCCTCTGCAGGTAGCCAAAAGTGACTTGCTTCCTTTAATTGAGTCCCACTCCTAGTAATCCATTCAGCCAATGGATTAATCCACTGATGAGGTCAGAGTTTTCATGATCCAATCACTTCCCCAAAGCCCTCTAAACACATGAGACTTTGGGAGACATTCCTAAGATATAATGATAAATCTAAGAAGGGTTTTCAGATGAGGAACCTTAGGCCTTGGCCTATAAATTCGCTAGTTCATTATTATGCATTTAGTAGAGCCAGGACTTCAGTTTTGGCCTTCTAATCTCCACGTCAATGCTTTTCCTTAAAATCTTGGTTGAAAGCACTGATCTGGTGATAGAAAAGACTACTTTTGGTAGAAATGAGGCAGTTTCTATTTTTATTTAAATTTTTACCTAGGATTATGGAATTTTAGATCTGGAAGGGCTCATCTATAATGTAGGTAGAGAGTGTTAGATTTGAAGCAGGAAGACCTGGAGTCCTGGTTCTGGGATGGACAAGCTTCTTAATTCTGTTTTGTCAATTTAGAAGGAGCATAAGGAAAGAGCTTCCTGGAAATCTTCAGAAGCTGAATTCCTTGTGTGTATGTGTGTGTGGGGGGTTCTTTAATAGTTCCTGAGCACCTCAAACTGTCTACTAATAAAAGATGAAGTAGTGACATGAACTTTGGAATTAGACCAATATTGCCAGGAAAGATCTTCCATTGGTACCATTTAATTTTGATTTTTTTCTCCAGTGATGTAAAGATAGGGTACCTAATTTTTAAGAGTGGACCTTTGGGGCTGGGGTTGTGGCTCAGTGGCAGAGTGCTTGCCTAGCATGTGTGAGGCCCTGGGTTCGATCCTCAGCACCATATAAAAATAAAATAAAGGTATTGTGTCCAACTACAACTAAAAAAAAAAAAAAAAAGAGTGGACTTTTAAAGTAGGAATTTAGAATGAAAGATGGCAGAGAGAGCATTCGTAGCTTTTTCTAAAAACTCATAGAGAAGTAGCTGGGAAGAGAAGGTGACCAAGAGGAAGCAAAAATAAAGGGATTGAATCATAATACTGGAAAACAGCTCCAAGCAATTTTCTGGTAAGAACATTATTTTTGGACTCAGCAACTATTTGGAACACTTTTAGTATATTCTAAATTACAGGAAAATGGAAGACAATGGAGTGAGGTTTTGGAGGAGGGGAGCAGAGAAAAACATTTGAATGCATAGTAATGTAGTTAACAGCTAAGATAGGAAAAGTGATTTTAGCATTGGCTTACCATGTGTTATTCCTAGTGATTTGATAAACTAGAAGTAAGATTGTTTTTGTATTGTGTTCTTACCAATAACTTGCCTCCTTATTCAGAACAAGTCCCCTAATTTCTCTAGTGACAATTTCAGGCTATAAAAAACATGTAATATTCTGGCACTGGCTGAAACTGACTGGTCTGAGTTTAGCTAGATGATGTAGATATCAGCAGCAATCATTTGTGTTCAGAACATTATCTGGCTAATGTCCGTCTCCTCTATGTGATTAATGTTGTCAACATTTTCTGACTAATGTTGGAAGCCAACTTTTTCTCTATTATTTAGATCTAAACAGAAAAGCTTGCTAATCTCTATATTAACCACCTCTGGATTTTTATAATAAAAACAACAATTCAAGGAAAGGTACAGTGGAGCAAGCATATCTGTAATCTCAGCTACTTGGGAGGCCAAGGTGGGAGGATTACAAATTCAAGGCCAGTCTCAGCAATTTAATTATACCTTGTCTCAAAATAAAAATTAAAAAAAAAAAAAATGGGAGTGTTGGGGAAGTAGCTCAGTGGTAGAGTGCTTACCTAGCATGTTCAATCCCCAGACTGCAAACACAAATAAAGCATGCCTGTAATCCCAGTGATTTGGGAGGCTGAGGCAGAAGTATCATAAATTCAAGGCAAGTTTAAGCAATTTAGCAAGACCCTGTTTCAAAATAAAACAGCAACTAAAATTTGTATAATATTTAATATGTCCTAGGCACTATTCTAAGTTTTTTATATGTATTAACTCATTTATTTCTTATAAAAACTTTATGAAGTGTAGATACTGTGGTTATCTTCATTTACTAACTACAAAAATAAGGCAAAGAGAGATTAGTGAAACACTTTTAATTCACATGTTAAGGGTATAGACCCAAAACTACCCTCACTTTAGACATCAGCCATAAGCTTTGGAAATTCACAGGTCTCCTGCAGTTTTTACCAACTGGCCACAAAGTTGGGAGTTCCCAGACCTCCTAGGTTCTATAATTTGCTAGAGCTATTCAAAACTCAAAAAAGCCCTGTTTTTAGCATTATAGTATTATAAAGGCTACAAAATAGGACTAACCAAAAAAAAAAAAAAGACTCATAGGTTGAGATCTGGCACTTCTGTGTCTTCTCCTGGTAGATGGGACAGGACACATTGCCCGCCCAGCACATCTATGTGTTTGCCAATCAGAAAGCTCAGTTGACTTTGGTGATCACCATATTTTTTTTTTTTTTTTTTAGTTGTAGATAGAGGATTGAACCCAGTGCCTCATGCATGCTAGGAAAGCACTCTACTGTTGAGCCACAACCCTGGCCCCTAAAGTGTTGTTTTTTTTTTAAACATAGTTATAATTGAATTGTTGGCTTTGTGATTGAACCCAGTCTTTAGCCTCCTTTTTCTCTTAAAGGGTGAACTGGTATTAGCCAAAGCCCCAACCCTCTAATCACCTGGTTAGTCTTTCTAGTGACAAATCTCCCATTCCAAGGCATTTCATTAGCATAAATTCAAGGGGCCCACCATGAATAAGAAAGATACCCCTGTCACTGGGGAAATTCTAAGAGTTTAGTAGTTACCTCTCAGGAATGGAGGGTGAAGACTAGTCAATTTCCTTATTATAAAACCTTAAGTAATTAAGTAAGGAAGAACTGAACAGGCTAGACTGAGGAAGGACCTAGAACAAATATAACTTTAGGGATACCAGTAGCAGAGATTAGGGCATTGGCTTTTTCTTATTGGCTCTCTCAGATGATTCTTTTCATTTTTCATCCCTCAATATTTTTGTTCAAGAGTCTAATATGACCCGGGTATGGGTAGAGATGGGTAGGGTTGGAGATGGAGAATTATATTGGCACAGATTGGATTACAGATTTATATAGAGTAGTTGAAAGTGTATGCTACAATTTCCGGTCCCTTATGGGACCATGTGAGGTAGGGGAAGTGGCAGAGTGGCAGTTCTTTAAAGAAAGGAATGCTGAGTAGATTCTGTAAAATATTTGAGAAATAGAATTGTTGTTGGAATATTTGAGCCGGTGGAAATGGTATTTTACAGAAGCACTGATTTAAGGGGATCCTCCTTTAAAGCATGGCTTTTATTTTTTCTAAACAAAGTGAGTTGTTACTGTTTTTCCTACCCTTCCTGAATACTCAATTTTAAATTATGCTATCTGTCAAGCAAAGTATATTTATTTCTTTTTATTTTCTGGTACTTGGGATTAACACAAGGCCCTGCATATAACCCAGGATCTTGTTTGTTTACGTTAGGCAAGTACTACTATTACTACTGAGCTACATCCTCAATCTCAAAGTATATTTCTTAAGTAATAATTTCTTTCCCCATTTTTCTGAATAAAAGACATCATAACTTAATCTTTGATTCTAACTAAGTAATATGATTCCAGCTAAAAGTATAGGATCTGATATCTAATTGACTTTGTCATGAGAAAGTGTTTATTTTCTATTAGGTTTTTGGAAA